TCAAAAAGGGTCTGTGATGTGTGCAAAAGGATGATCATGAACTAATTAAGTCTCTAGAGCATGTCGCATTTGCTTCGGCTTTGCACTTTGTGGTTTAGCTTCTAAGGTCAGTCAAATCGCAGTGCTAAGGCCAGTCTGACCGTGGCGAGAGAGTTCGGGCCACAACCAACTTTGTAGCGTTGGCCACCGTCGTCCGAGGCTGCACCCAAGTGTTGTGTGCATTTCGGTCTGTCCGCGCATGTGTCCGGATAGACCAGGCTTGGAGGCTGCACCCAAGTGTTGTGTGTGAGCCAGTCTGACTGCATATGTGTCCAGTTTGACCAAGCTTGGGGGCAATCTGATTAGATGTTGTCTTGTAGCCTTGGCCTCGTTGGCTGAGGGAAGCTGAGAGTCATTAGTTGTTGGTTGTCATATTGCGATGGTGACCGGACCTAGTTGGGGGCGGTTTTATCGGGAACCCCTAGAGTGATTTAAATAGTACTCCAATCACAAGTTTTTAGCTAGTGGAGTGCAATATGGTCTTATTGATCTTTGAACCTTGCACCCAATCTAACACTCTTGAGCGCCTAGGTTCTTTTAAGATGTATTTGCTTCATTGGTAGAGCTAGTTGGAGCTTCACCATTCTCAATCAATCATCACCGATTTGTTGTTCTTGGAGGTTGCCTCCTCCTAGACGGCTTAGAGGATATGACCTAGTGACCTCTGCAAAGAAGTTTGTGAAAGAGGCCCAGTTGAGATTGTGAGTGGTTTGGAGATCACTACCATAAGAGTGGAAAAAAGAACTACCCTAGTAATCAAGACTTGGATAGACCACTTCGCTCGAGACTAGATCCCATCTTGCACATCCCTTGACAAGGGGATTCGGAGGCTTGATGGTTTGACTAGTGAAGTTGGGCTCGCCTCAACAGTGAATAAGAAAGCAACAGAGTTTCTGAACCTCAGGAGAAAATTACTTGTCTCTTGTGTCATTTACTTGCTGTATTTATATTTGTGAGATTTAGATTCACAGAGACTATTTGAACCCATATTGCTCTAGGACTGCAAAACTAGTTGCTTAGGTTAGTCTTGTCCTTCATCAAGCATAGAAACTTACAATAGTATTTTAAGTAAATTACAGTAGTAGTACATGAACTTATCACGTGGGTGTAATATATTATATAAACTTATAAAACATTCATTTTGGTACACAAGCTTATCTGATGGGTTTGAACGAAGGCCAAAATAGCACTACTAGGTTAATTTTGCTGATTTAAGTGTTGGCTAAAATGCTAAGTAGACACATATAGGAGAAGGATATAATGTAAACAAATATTTGTTAAGGAAAAGATAGAATAAGAGCTAATGATAGCAAAAGGAACCCATATCGCTCTAGGATTGCAAAACTAGTTGCTTAGGTTAGTCTTGTCTTTCATCAAGCATAGAAACTTACAATAGTATTTTAAGTAAATTACATTAGTAGTACACGAACTTATCACGTGGGTGTAATATACTATAAGAACTTATAGAACATTCATTTTGGTACACAAATTTGTCTGGTGGGTTTGAACGAAGGCCAAAATAGCGCTATTAGGTTAATTTTGTTTGAGTTAAGTGTTGGCTAGAATGCTAAGTAGACACGTATAGGAGAAGGATATAATGTAAACAAATATTTGTTGAGGAAACGATAGAATAAGACGTAATGATAGCAAAAGGAAGAAAAAGAACAAATCAATAATATTTCAATGGTAGAAACAAATAGTTAGCTTTACCATAGCATTTTCGCTCAAACCTCCCATTGTAACAACCCATTTCAAGAATCGCGCAATCCAACATATCTGATGGGTAGGTCCACTTACACTTTCGTCATTATTTTGTGTAAAAGATTTAACCCGAGAACGATATAGTTAGAGAGACAATATCTTATAAGTTAGTTCCACTCTAGCTCAATTAGCAAGGGATACTAATCAAGTGCACACAGTACTCATGTGTACTAATGCACCACATGGATCATATCCTAATTAGACTACATCCATACAAGTTCGTTAACCAAAGCAGGTGTTTTGAAGGTTCACGCATTAAATCACACCCACCTAATAAGTTCGTGTTCACCAATCCAATATAGTCTATTTTTTTATTATGTGTTATTTTTTTATTAATTTATATTCGAGCGTTTGCTTTTAAATATATATATATATATATATATATATATAAAAGTTGTACCGTAAAATTATTTTTTAATCTCTGGCAAGTCCTTTCGATTTAAGTATGTACGAAACTTGTGCCGAAGCCCAATATAGACAATCAACCTGCGTTATTTGTGTTACGAAAGAAAATGGTAAGAAATAATATTATTTTTATGCAAACGACTCCGATCGATACGGTAAAAAAAATTTCATTTTTAAGAATTTAGCTATCTAGTGATCTACTTTAGTGAGGCTCATAAATATTATTTCCTCCGTTTCACAATGTAAGATTTTCTAGCATTGCCCATATTCATTTAGATGTTAATAAATCTAGACATATGTGTATTTAGATTCGTTAACATCTATATATATGTGGACAATGCTAGAAAGTTTTATACTGTGAAACGGAGGGAGTAGAAAGAAAAATATTTTTATATAGGTAGAAATAAAAATGATCGGATACTATATTTATATTTATATTTATAAAGAGATGATGTCAGTACGGTCTATAATTTCGGTACTACGTCCCTCTCAAAATATAGCTACTTTTATCACAATACTTTGTTTCAAAATAAAACTATTTTTTCACCTACCTCCTTCTCTCAACTAATCACAACTATTCTCTTTCAGCTATTTTCTCTTCTCAACCAATCATACACATCCTCCAATAACTTTTACCTACTTTCTTAGTACTTATGTTAACCTACTTCATCCGTCCCGGAATATAAAAAGTTTTAGGGTTGGACACGGTTATTAAGAAAGTGGGTAGAAGTAAGTGGTGGAGTGTTGTGATTGAATAAGTAGTGGAGGTATGTGGGAAAAGTGAATGGTGGAGGATTATGATTGGTTGGAAATAGAATGTTGGTGAAGAAGTTGTTATATTTTTGAATAAATCCTAAGGGCTAAAAGTTGTTATATTTTGGGACGGAGGAAGTACAAAATATTTACATTTTTGCATGAATGTACTTTCTTTGTCCTATAAAAAATGAATCTCTTTCAAAGATCAATACCCTACATTATATAATGTGGCTCGAAAGAAGCCGTCTACTGTGGCAGAGGTCATGAACACAACGCCGCTAAATATCTCTTTTAGGAGAGCTATTGTTGGCCAAAAGCTAATCAAGTGGAACGATTTGATCCTCAGGCTAGCTAATATAACTCTGTCAAATGAAAAGAACTGCTTTGTATGGTCGCTCCATAAGAATGGTCAATTTTCCGTCAAATCTATGTATGCCGCGATCATGAACTATAATATTTGGATCAAAAAGAGAATTCTGTGGGACTTGAAAATTCCACTAAAGATCAAGGTCTTTTATGTGGTTTCTTCAAAAGAAAGTAATTCTAACGAAAGATAACCTGGCTAAAAGAAAATAGGGGAGACAAACATTGTTCTTTCTGCTATGCACAAGAGACAATCCAACATCTTTTCTTTGAGTGTCATGTCGCTCAGTTTGTTTGGAGATGTTTGTTTTTTGCTTTTAATATCCCCCCACCCCGTAACGCCAAAAACATTTTCGGTAATTGGCTTAGAGGGGTATCTATGTCCATTAAGAAGATGATTCTAATTGGATTCTAATTGGAGCTAGTAATGTCTGTTGGTCAATTTGACGTTGCCGTAATGATAAAGTTTTTAATGGTAAACAATTATCTAATCCTATGCAGGTTATCTTCATGTCTTCCTACTAGCTCCACTTTTGGTATACGATGCTACCACAGGAGGAGCAGGATACTATGCGCAATGGTGCTACACTCTTGGAATCGGTAGCCAAGGGTCTCTTATTCCACTATGGGTGGCATAGTTCCATTAGAATTGCTAGCTAAAAAAATTTTATGTGGTTTAACGCTAGTCAATAATAAAGAGGAGTCAGGGATTTGTCCCATCACCTTATTTCTCATTTTGATTTACTTTTATCTTATTTTTTTATTACTATTAAACTTATGGCTATGTGTCTTATGACAGAAGCCGAGATGTAATCCATTTCTATTATTAAAAAATAAAAAACAAATCTAGAACTGGATGTGATATATCATAGTATTATGAAGGCTAGATGTGATGTGTTATATTCTGTTCTAGATTGATTTTTTATGAGACTAATGACTACTCCCTCAGTCCAAAAATTGAATTTAGAACTGTGATATATGCTAGATGGTATGTCCAGATTCGTTATTTCATATTATTAGATTAGTTTTTAATTAGACGGAGGTAGTAGCTACTACTACCATCCTCACCGCTAATGTGGCTGACGAGGCTCTTTTGCTTTATTCTGTGGTGTGACTGGTGTCCGTCGCTGGGAGCTCCTGGTGGGGCCCACTAGTCAGAGCGGGGTCAATGAACGAGCACCGCACATCATCATCATCCGGTGGATCTCAATTAGAAAAAGCCAAAGTGCGGTTCGTGACAGCGACGGTGTACTGCGGGACACAGGGCCTTCCTTGTGCATTTATTACGCCTATATTTTGTTCTTTTTTTTTTCCTTTTCTATTTCTGGACTTTGCCCTTTCCCTTCTTCCGACGGACGAGCGGCGAGCTAGGCTTTGGCTCTGCCTCTGGTTCTGGCCATTCCCTTCCTCCCGCCGCACGCATCCTCTGATCCTCCCTCCCTCCCTCCCTCCTCGATCCACGCGCGGTCCGAGGTGAGTTCGCTCCTGCGCCTGTCTCTACTTGTCGCGTTAGGGTTCGTTTGGCGGTGATCGGGTCTGAGGATGGAGAGATTCCAGTTCTTGGGAATGGGCTCGACTCTTTGCGTTGGGGAGGTCCGTCCGTCTGACTAGTATCGTGAATCGGTTTGATTAAGGAGTTTTTTTTTTCTTTGGGGGGGGGGGGTGGGGGGAGGGAGAAAATGGTGTGTAGAATACTAGAATTCGATTGGAGGGACGGAATTTTGCAGGATTCTGTTATTGTTCTCCGTTGGCCGCGTGCTCGCTGTTGGTTCCTGAAAAGGAGATAATTGAGTAATGTGATCAGGCCATTTTGAGTAAATTTCCCTAATGCTTTAGTCCCTCTTTTATTTTTTTTCTTCCATTAATTAAGATATTAAGAAAGTAAGAATAGCATGATTTACGGAATCCCGGCAGTGGCAGAATCCAGTTTATTGCAACCTGGAGTGGAATTTCACTGAACATTTTGGTTCATCATGTTGGGTGTGTTGTTACTGCCGTACCGGCTCCCATTGGTTCAATATTGTTCGTCATCCCAAAGTAGTAGGATGAGAAATAGTGTACCGTTTTCCCGCTTATATGTTAGTATGCTACAATAAATAACCTCCAAATTCTGTAGGGAAGAAAATAATATTCTTCTTCCATACAGCCTGAAAATAATATTCGGCTTCCAGAACCTGTTAAATTACGCTGCAGCCTGAAAATGCAACAGAACAGGTCATTATTTGCTGACCTGTTGATGGAACAATTGGTAGTTAGAACTGAACACATGGACAACAGATTTCCTGTTGCCTGTATACTTAATGTATGAATGCATTGCATAGTTCGATATTCTCGCTACAAATAGATTTTTTGTTCTTAAAATAATTCTTGTTTATGCACTAGCTTGGTACATCACCTTCTTGAGGTTAAGATGTTGGGGCGCGCAATACGCAGTATGGAGGTTATGGTGCATTCTTCAACCTTCCTTCTTCCAAAGTTGCATCAGCCTGCCAACTCTCCAGCAAAGAAGTATGCTCTAGTTGTTCTTAATCAGAACCTTCCACGATTCGTGCCCCGCCTGTGGACTCATGGTAGCTGTCCCTGCTCATTTGTTCTTTTGACATTCTGTATCAGTCATGTATCTTTAAACCTCTGCGTGTGATTTTGATATAGAGCAGCAAAGCTAAGAATCTGTGCTGATGGAGGTGCCAATCGTATATTCGATGAGATGTTTCAGATGACTAATGATCCAGACTATGAAAGCACCCGAAAAAGGTAGAGTAACAACTTTCTCATTTCATTTGGATTTTGTTGTTTATTAAATTTAAATTATTCCTTGCAGATATTGATTAATGATAAGTGATAGCTGTTGCTACCTCTGATCACAAAAATATGCACTTATTATGCTTGATGTCAAACTATATTAGTTTTGACCAAATATGTTATCTATATCATATAATTTGGTTATATCAAAACGATGCAGTATTTTTTTAATGAAAGTTGATAAAATTTAGTGGTCAAGGTGGCATTTCGTAGACTTCAAAAAAAAAACAAATTATTTACTTATTTTATGAACAGGGGTAGTAACACTTAAACAGAAAGTGCTCAAAATAAGCATTTTTTACGATATTATTTGTAATGTACTCCTCTTTAGGTTCTTTTATGGGACGTTAGGCACATAAATAGGGTACTACTCCCTTTGTCCCATATTATAGCAATCTAGGACACTTCATAGTAGCATGTTCAAATTTGTTGTACTATGTAGTGTCACATCCGGTCCTAGGTTGTTATATTATGTCCTAGGTTGTTATATTAAGGGACGGGGAGTATTTGGTGGGTTGTACATGAAAAAAAAAAGAAGTGTAGTTTGGATTATTTTTGGTAAGATATTGGGTTGTGTTAGGATCTGGATGGCATAAGTCCTAAGCCAACATTGTAATGCCAGTTGAGCTCATTGAATAACTGTGTGTTGTAAAACTGTAAACAGCCAAATATGAAACATGTACATTAAAAAAAATAAATGAGACCACAGATAAAATTTAATACACTAATATGTTGAATGCCCAAAGGGCTCACCTGTTCGTCCATTCACGTGGTTTGGATTGAAGTACTAGACCTTATTTTCGTAATTTCTAACCTCAAGACTCTATTCCTTGTTAGAGATATCAATCAGTAGTGGAGTTCCATTTGACATGCTCTGTGATCTAAATGCTCAACTTGTTCCTAAAACAGTTACAAAAATTAACAGCACCTATGGGCATATACAGGCCAAGGTTCAAATGACTTGATCATATGTGTGATTTGTGATTAAAGGAAACTGAAATTTTTCAGACTACTTCAGTGATTGCAGAATCGTTCCATCTCTTAATTAAAGTGAAGTTCTACAAACACGGTTTATATTAGATTCTTGGTCACTAACACTACTTTGGTAATTAGATTTCACTAAACAACTCGGATATGCTCCCTCTATTCTGTATGAGAAGTTCGTATCTGCACTTTTCTAGTAGAGGTAATACCATAATAGTAATTGTACTCTTAGATGTGTTCTTCATATGGAATGCATTTAGGTACTAGTGATTGCTTGGCATGTGCCTATTTATTTTTCGGTAACTGTTCACTGGTCACACAGAGAACAACCCACCTCGACAGTTTGTATGTTCTCCAAAAGCCCTCAATAGTACTATATATTTTATGAAATATGTATAATGTATATCTGAATGGCATTTTAAGGTCAGTTTTCTAAGACCAAGCTAGCTATAAATGTTCATGCTCTACTCTCCCCTAAGGATGAATACTTGCGTACTGTTAGAACTAATATAATTGAGTAAAATTTTCCTGACTCTTACAATTGGCTGCTGATATCCAGGTATATTCCAGAAATAATTGAGGGAGATATGGATTCTATAAGGCCAGAAGTGAAACAGTTCTACTCTAGCCAGGTCTTTTTTCATTGCTTTCCTTTTTTGCACTTTTTTACAATGTTTCACGCAATCTAGACATCCTAGGAGATTGCTGCAATGCAGTTATTATGTGAAAAAAATCTAGTTTGTTAAAGGCATAAGCAATCTTAGTCATAAGAATGAAACTGCAATAGCACTGAAAGCATTTTTCTTTATTACTTAAAAGCGTAGCCGTCTGTCCGTCCTCCCCCACGTCACACGTGCAGCACGCCCCTCCCAAAAAAGCAGAAAAAACAGGGCCCCGTAGAAAACCGAAGTATGCTACAGGCCCATAGGCCCATAGAAAACTAACACGTTAAACCATTGGCCCATCTTCTAGATCCCATTGCAACGCACAGGCATGTCCATAGTGTGTTGGAAAGTAAGAGTATAATAACAAAAGATGGCCTCTTGCATTTGGCAGTAGACCTTGCAGTGTACTGCATTTCATGAAAGATGAAGTCCAGTTGACAAGCGTGTGGTAATTATTGATATGTACACCTCTATCCAAGAGCAAGGGGAATCTCTGCTTAGTGCAGCAAACACCTATAATCAGTATGGATGCTGAGATCCTGAACAAAACAAAGTTGCAACTATTTTCATGGTTATTACGAACCAGTTGATTTTAATCAGAATTATGTCACATTATCTCAGTAAGTCAAAACTAAGTTAGGTATAATATACATGACCAACATGCAGAATACTCGAGCAAACATGTCCACCCCCCAACCCCCCCCCCACCCCCTGCCCAGGGTCCCGGGCGCCTTGCATATTTTCTGCTCTGTTTCTCTGAGTTGTAAACATGATCAGGAACTCAGGATATCATTGTTTTGCTGAATTGCACTCTATGCAGGGATCTAAAATTTCTGATAAATCACATAACCAAGAGACAACAGATTTGCACAAGTGTATTTCTCGGATCCATCGTTGTACACCTGATCATGAAAAAACAAATGTGAGTAGCAGACTTCCTTTTAAACTTGGTACTTTTGTTATAGCAATCTCCGACCTGTTTATGTCTTACAATGTCAAAACTCAATATCTGCTCAAATTTCAGATATACCGATTATTATTATGAAAATTAAGCTCCTCAACTACTGCAGCTTTGTGTTCTTGTGACTGGAGCACTTGGTGGAAGGTTTGATCATGAGGCTGCTAATATCAACATTCTGTATTTGTTCTCGGACATGAGGATTGTTCTTCTATCAGATGACTGCTTGATTCGGCTTCTTCCCAAAACACACAAGCATGAGATCTATATTGAGTCATCTGTTGAAGGGCCACATTGTGGACTTTTTCCTGTTGGAGCACCATCTGGAAGCACTACAACCACTGGCCTGAAGTGGAACTTGAGTACATTTCTTTCCCAAGTTGCTTATTCATGCAGTTTTCATGTTAAACTATATGCATCAGTTCTTTCCAACAGAAGGATACTGAAGATACTAAAGCACATTTGAATTGAACTTGTCATAATTTTTTTTCCATGAAGAAACAGCAGTTAACTACATTTTGTTTAGTACTCCCTCCGTTTCAGGTTATAAGACGTTTTGACTTTGGTCAAAGTCAAACTACTCTAAGTTTAACTAATTTTGTAGAAAAAAAATAGTAATATTTTAAACCCAAGACAAATATATTATGAAAAATTATTCAATTATAGATTTAATGAAACTATACTGGTGTTGTAAATATTACTATATTTTTCTACAGAAATAGTCAAACTTAGATTAGTTTGACTTTGACCAAAGTCAAAACGTCTTATAACCTGAAACGGAGGGAGTATTTTGCAGAATATTGTAACATTTTCTACCTTTTCTGGAAATCAACCCTGAGCGTTTAAAAGTCTGAGTAAAATGTTTGGTTTTGTAGCTGATGTTTGTTTCCAAACTTTCGCATGAGTTCACAATTTTCAATATAACCCACTGAAATCTGAGAAGACAATGTTTCGGATCAGTCCAATAACACTTGGTCAGTCATACATCATAGTTGATGGGAAATGCTTGGACCAGTCTAATGACGTTTCTCTGCTGGATAGAGCTAATAATAACTTGCGATGCGCTGGACTTCTGATAAAGTAATTTCCTTAGGGCCACCTGATGTAGGTTATGAGGACAGATCAGTTGAAATGTCATCAGGCTGGGGTGAACCTGGACTATGAAATGAAACATTGACATTTAATCAGGCTAAGTCCCACTACCAGTGGCTTGTTGGCTAACCTATTACCAAAGCCTTAGCAACAATGGTTATGTTGACAGCACTAGCCACAAGTGCTCAGATCTACTGTAGATATTTCTACCATCTTAATTTGGTCCTAATTCATCCCATCAAACTACATGCCTCTATGTACACATGAAAATCACTCCCAACAATCACTATTCAGCATGGTACCATCAAGCACATTTACTGATTTACCTATGTTGACAGAAACATCTTGTACAGAAGTAGTACCATTATTCAGTGTACCTGTGTATATTTAGGACCAGTCATCTCATATGTACATGATTAGCAGTTGGTGTCAGATGCAAGAAAAAATGAATAGTTGATTGCAATCATAGAAGTTAACAAGAAAATTAAATGTCACAAGAATCGTTTATTTGAAACTATAAGAACATTACTTATAAAATTACAGTGATATGGAGGTGTTTCTCCATTTCTATTGGAAGCCTGAGGCGTTGTTTACATTATCTTCCAGGTGAAGCGAAGATGAGATTTGGGAGTATGATAAGCACATCCAACATTGTTCACGCAGAAAAGGTTACTGTACAATCCGATGCAGATCTTCTCTGGACAATTTCCCTCCGAAATCTGACCTGAAGAGCCACCTCCACTTTGCACCCTTCGCCAGTTTTCCCCTTCTCTGGCATATCTTGGTGTTGTGTGTAATCAGCCTAGATCCTGTACAGCTGTTTATGAGTTCAAAGGCAGTTCTGCTTCTGCATCGGCCAAATAATTTTCCCTGCTTCATGATAAAGCAATTCATGATGCTCATGAGGTTAGAAACTTTTAAGGAGGAGCTGCCAGTGGATTGCATGAACACCACAGGCAGATGTATGATGTAATTCCTTTATTGGTTTGTTTCTGTGGGATCGGATGAGCATATGATCCCTGCAATACCTCTCTTCCGATTGGCACTGCGTACTCTGCACATATAACTTGCTGAAGAGAAGGATTCTTGCATTTATGCCCGCCTAAGACGGGGGAAAAGAAATATGTTTGCCTTCTCTTCTAGCCGGATTTTTTATTTCTTGTTTTCAGACATTAGTATGTTTTGCATTGTCTCGTCTATCCATATTACAGATTACATCAAGTGTGTAAAAAAGACGGATCAGAGATGAACTGATTTTTGTCAGGTCTGGACAGCATGCAGAATAGTCCACTCCGTTCATTCCAGCTACCGGTGGCGGAGCCAGAAATTTTTTTAGCCTGGGCAAGCCTAACAAGAGATAAAAACTATATATAGAAAATTGTACAGTTTATCATAGACAAAAGTAAAGTTGATTGTTGCCAAGTTACAATTTATCAATGAAATGTTGATTGTTTATTGTCAATGAGTTAGACTATGGGGCTACTATACATCAGGAAAGCAAGATTAGGGATGTGGTACAACTCTTTGCTTAGGCTTTATATTTAGCGATATGATGATTTTGCCCTTGCTTTGCTTGTTTGTTGGCTAGTCATCTAATTAACCTTCATTGAAACCAGGAAGCAAGGTAATTATGTAAGCAATTAATGAGTAAATGTTGTTTAGAGCAGTACAATAGTAGGCTATAAGCTAGCAGCGGGCTACAGATTTGTAACCAACTATATCACGGACTCCAAGACACGCTGTGTGTATGATAAGTAGGATCAGGTATTAATAGTGTAGTACATAACTATTGTATGAATGAGCTATTAGGTTGACTATAGATGAATTAGAGCTAGTAGTTGGCTATACTATTAAACTTGCTCTTATGCTGTGGAGGAATGTGTGTTGCGATGCATGGAGCCCGGGCAGCTGCCCATGCTGGCTGGGCCCTGCCTCCGCCACTGTCAGCTATGATACCAACCATGGCCACCCAGTCTCGAGACTCCCTCATTTTTCCTTTATATGACTATCTAATGTCCATATAAACTAAATAAAAATTGAGGGAGTACGACTCAAGTACATAGAACAAGAAGTTTGTCTTACATAGAAAAAGGGTTCCTGCGTCAAAATGGATATCTTAAATCTTTTATTTCGAGAGTGTAGCTATGAAAGTGAACGACGATGTTGGATGTTTCCTTCAAACAAAGAAAGGTGTTACACCCAATTCGGCACCACCATACAACACCATATAGGGAACGGTGCAAACCACTTCCTGCAAGACCGCAAAACCGGTACAAGTCCTAGAACATAGCACCGGTACACAGTTATAAATCGTTGCAATCGTTAATTAAAATAGTGAACTTATTTACCTTAAGTTGCAGCTCGAGGAGGTCCGAGAATGCAACCAACAACACCGAAGCAACAGAAGCATGGAAACCAACGAACTAATTCCTAATATCATAGGAAATGGTTGGAACCAAGAAGAAACTCTAATCTTCACTTCGCTTCAACTTCACCTTCCAGACAGGGGGAACTATATATATAGAAAGAAAGGGTGAGTACTTACGTTCTCAACAAATCACGGAACATAGGTGTTTAGTGCAAGCTTGAAAGAGGGCCAAGGCTGTTTTGCAAATCCTTTATTTGAAACTATTTTGAAATCGCTAAGTGATTTTTTTTTCTTATTATGTTTGGATAAAAAGAGACTTGTGTCTCAATCTGACCTAAGAGATGACAACTCATTGGTAGTGCACCGACTTCCTAGGTTGGTTTGTCGTTCTTGGCTCCTATACCCATTTCACTTGGTTAACTAGCTTCCCAAGCCTTTTTTTTTCCATCACTCGGACTGCCAGAGTCTCACTGCCCTATAACATGGCAAACTGCTTCCACTCGGGAAGCCTAGTCTATGATCCCTCAGGCATCTCGAATCATACAGATCCATTTCTAACCACTCAGGTCAGCCATGACGCGCGTAGGCAAGAACGGGCGAGCGGGGTGGCGAAAATTGAATCGGTGGCAAGGTTTTCGGCGTGCTGAGAACGAGAGTGAGGCAGCAAGACACTCCTCTCTCTCTCTCTCTCGGCACGTGCCGACGCATGCGCGGCTGCATGGTGAACTGGTCATGGGCCGCGGTAAGAGGAGGGGCAGGCTGGGCTGCGTAGTCAGCTGGCGAGAGAGGAAGGGAGGAGACGGTACAGCTGGATCGGACCGAGATGAGGAAAGGAAGAAAAGATGGCCCAGGATATTCCTTGATATTTTTCAGGAATTTATTTGTAAGGAAGGAGATAGATTTGATTGGGATTTGAGTCTGAACTTGAACTGAGATTTGATTCAAGCTTGATTTTTGAAGCTAGAAATATGGGGAGGAATCAAGGAGGGAAACAAAGTGAGAATTTGATATTTTGAAGTTGTGTGGAATATAGAGGGATTGAATTTGGAATTTGATTATTGAGACTTGATTTTGGAATAGAAATTTTGAGGAGTCGATATTGGATATCAAGGAGGGAACAAGGAGAGATTTAAATTGAGATCTATGGAATGACAGACTCACAACCAAAGAATGAAATTGTTAACGACAAAATTTGGCATAGTCATCGGATAATGCAAGTCAATAAGAGTAACTGACACTGTTGGTTGAGTTCGATTCGGTTGGAACAGGTTGTTTAGGTAAGCCTTAGATTTTTTTTTGGAATTAGCTGTCGTATTACGACATATTTTTAAGTTTTGCTTTTTCTTTTTAGAAGATAAGATTTCAGCCGATCGAATCGTGTTCAAGTCAAACTAAACTAGGTGAAAGGTATAAATATAAGTGCTCGCAAGCCTTGTAATTTATCAACAAATCAATATACAACTTTCGGTGTATCGCCAACCTTTTTGGCGAGTTCTTAGTTATTGACCAAGGCTACATCAGTTTGATCTCCAGCAAGAAAGTATGTTTTGTCAATTTCATTTCTGCCAGCTTAGTTAGGAGTTTCTCGGGTTGCTCCGATATTCTAATTAAGTTGCTACAACCATTGCCTATCTAATATATTGGCTCTTTCTTTGATTATTTTTTATCTTAGGTAGATTTGATATATTTATCACTCTGTACAAAATATATCAGCTCAATTAGATCTACTAATTATCATCAATATTATGATGTCTCGGTTTAGTCCGATCCATTAGGTTATGATCAATCAAGTAGGTTTCATCAAGTCTCAAGTCTGATAGGTTCTTTTCAATGTTTCAACGGAGTTCCAGCGAATGAGTTATCATATTATAATTTCAAACCGTTACATTGGCTTATACTAAAACTTGTATACAAACTAGTTAGATCGATCTTCATTAACTTCAATCTTATACTGCCTCGGTTTAGTCTGGTTCATCAAAATTGTTTCTAATAAAGAATGATTTATCAATGATTATACAATGTGTGTTCTAGCCAATGATAGCAAAAACTTTGTTATTTATTTAATAATTTAATTTACATCAGATCCATAGTCGTTGATCCAAGCCCTACCAGCATTGGTTGGCCAAACTACATTACATCGGCCCATTGGCCGATCATCCTTCTGATTTATTTTTTTCTATCTATCTTGTTAGTTGCAGGATTAAACTAACTGGCACGCTCTGAACCCAAAATTTAGAACTTGCACTAGAGTCAAGCAAATCTCTCAGGCCTTCGCATGTTGGATAAGATTTTTGAGTCAACAAAAAATTTCTCAGATAGATTTGTATTCATATAGTTTTTAACATCTCACGAAAAGCAGGGCATTACAAAAGGTCTTCGACAAGAAAATCCCTATAAATAATAGGAAGCTGCATAACCTAGACGGGAAGGAAGTGTTATAACAATTTGAGAAACGGCTAGCCAGTCGGAAGGCAAGCTTCTATCACTTGGGAGATACTTACGCTCATTAATTCAGTTCTCAAAAGCCTATCGATGTACATGATGTCTTTCTTTGCAATGCCTAAGAGAGTAGTCAGCAAAATTTGTTACTTTAAGCCTAGATTTTATGGACAAGGAGATGGTCATAAATGAAAATATCGACTGACAAGATGGGACATTTTGTGTCGTCCTAAAGATACAGCGGGTTTGGGTATCCGTAATTTACATCTTAAAAATATAGCCCTTCCAACCAAATGGCTTTTTAAAGTTACTTACAATTGATGGACTATGGCAACAATATTGTGTAACAAATATTTGGGATAATAACGTCTATGTCAAGTCCAATGGAAACATGCGGATTCACGCATTTGGGCCAATCTTATGAAACCCAAATCTAATTTTCTTAAGTTTGGTTCTTCTACAGTGAAAGACGGCCAAGTTGGGTAATGCAACTTTGCGATAACTGTACCCTTGTCTCTACACCGTTGTAAGACATAAAAAGGCGATCATCTCAAATATTTTCCAAACAACCCCTTTTGACTTTACTTGGCTTCGGGATATTATTGGCTCTAAGTTAGTAGCGTGGAATCATCTCTTTCTGCTCATCATTAATATAGTTTTGTCTCATGAGCAAGATGAAGTTAAATGGAATTTAACAACCATTTGGAGATTCTCGATCAAATCTCATTGGTTGCTAAATTCCATTTAAATTCATATTTGTGTTCCCAATATTAACAAAAATATATCTAAGTTAAAAGTCTCGCTCAAAGTGAAAATTTTTCTGTGGTTTTTACATCGAAGAGTTGTGTTAACAAAAAGATAACCTGGCTAAAGGGAATTAGAAAGGGAACATAATATGTTGCTTTTGTCCCAAGGAAAAATAATAAAATATTTGTTTTTTTAGTTTTTAGTGCTAGTTAGCCTAGGGTTTGGTCTCTAATCCAGATTGTATCAAACAGTTGTTCGCCAAGTAATATGTCACATATGCTAGGGCAATGAAATTTTGACCCTAACTCAAGAGCTTACATCTCTTATTCTACTACTAGGGGTGGAAACAACTTGTTGGTCAATTTGGCTACCAAGGAATAATGTAGTTTTTGAAAGGAAAATTGTTTCTTCTCCTTTGTAGGTTACTTTCTTGATTACACATTGGCTCAAGTAATGGTTATTTTAAAAACCCGGTTTACAAGGTTTTTATGTTGTGTTTTGTCTACAATTGGAGCAAGTAGTCAAGGAGTTTTTTTTACCCTGATAGATGGCCCTTATTGTTCATTTGGCTTCGTCTTCTTAGTTTATGTGGGTGTATTGGTTATGTGCATTGTCGTGTTGCAGAGGCCAGGAGTATTATCAGAACAATGTATTTACTTGAGTTCAATGAAACTTCTATTGTTTAAAAAAAACAAAGAGAAGGTTCTTACATAGAAGACGGT